CAATGCTGTCACTCACTGATGGCTCTGTGATTATGAATCTGCATCAAATAAAAAATAATAATAATAAAAAAAAAAGTGTGTGTCTGGTGCTGGTTAATCAAAACACATTTTCCCTTGAATCAGACTTCAGTTCTTCCACTCCCTGTGGATGATTAAGCAGGGAGACGGGGGAAACCAGCTGGGGCGGCGAGCTTGGCGTTTGTCTCTCCCTTGAATGCTGCTGTATCAGCAGCGAGGAGGAAGGATGAGAGCGAGACAAAAGCTGCGCGTATCACAGTTGCCTCTGTGTCCGCCGAGAGACGCGCACGAGAGCGGAGGCACAGCCCTGTGACGCGATGCTCGCTATCAGAGCACATATCTGCTCCACCATGTCATCCTGAGAAAGAGCCACACACTGTCACTTGTTTACACTTGATAGTGACTCCCAACTCAGGGTTCGGAGCATTCAAACTAAGGTGGTTGGACTCGTGAAGAAATCTGAAGACAGGATGTTTTGGTTCTTTTATCAACAGATTTGAACAGCTATTGATTAGTTGATCAGTTTATCCACTGAAAGAAAATGAATCGGCAGCTGCTTTCAGTTCATCTTTCGATGACAAACAAGATCTAAATGAACACTGTGAGGATTTGATGCTTTTTTCACTCTCATGTGAAACTAAACTGAACTTTTCTGACTTGTTAATTAGTGATACAACCTGACGACACCACCAATTTATTCACACTTTAGAGACCAAACAATTAACCAGTTATTATTGATTCATTCATCTCTTAGTCTATAATGAATTAATGCCAGGGTGATGTTTTCAGTTGTGTTTGTCTAGAGATGCAATGAGTGATCAATTATTTAGTTTGTTGACATTGAAAAGGAATTAATTAACTATTTTGGAAATGTACTTATTGTTTAAGTCATTTTACAAAAAAATGTTTAATTGTCAAACATGCAAAGTATAATGCTTGGTCTTGAATCGAGTTGATTGGACAAAAGAGTAAATTGATTAGTAAAAAAAATTATTAGAAGATTAATCAATAGAGAAAATTTAGTTACAATAGTTGTAGCTCTGCCAACAGTACAACAAAAACTCAAAGATATTCAGCTTACAATGATTAAAGTCCTGCCAATCGAACAGGAGAATCTGCATTTTTGTTAAAAAAATAAATCAAAAATGTTGCCAATCCATTTTCTGTCAATCATCTAATCAGTTAAGAATAACTCATTGTTTCAGCACTTCACCAGACTGCATGATGTTTTAAGGTTGAAATTATACCTGATCGTCGTGGCGGCTGCTCCACAGTGTTTACACAGTGACGTGCAGCTAGGCTCTGCTGAGATCAGTTCTCTGTCATACAAATAGGCAGATGCCAAGCAGCTGAATGGACTGACAAGTCAATGTAGTGTAGGCTTACATTCACCTTCCATAATCAGACCTCTGGCTCGTTTCATCCTGTCAAACACTGCTCGGCCGCCCCTCCGTAAAACACCGTATTTTCACCCTTCAAAAAATAACATTACATCACTCGACCCAGTCATTTTTATAAATGGAGGAACCCCGAGGCTTGAAACCTTACACTGCACAAACACGGGCCACGAGAAAGCCGGCCTTTTGTTGAGGTTGAGAGGAAAAGAATTAAAAAGCAAGTCAGAGCAGCACATTTACTGAGCAGCTCCGTCAAGAAGTGCTTTTGTTTGACACTGCCAGAGATTTATGATGTTGCTGAAGTGTTTACAGAGGTCAAGGCGGCTCATTTTCCGAATCAGTTTGTCAAGCATTTGCTTATCTAAAGAGGCCTTTTCATCAATCATAAAAAAAGACCCTGAAAAAAACCAGTCCACCTTAAAAAATCAGTAACACAACTAGAAAAACAGAGTGCATTCATATGAAATAAACTGAAGTCGTGTCATCTCATTTGAAAGCTCAATATTTACCCGTCTGTTAACTTGAAGAGTTCAGTTAGTAAAAGGTTAAAGTTTCATGGCCCAGTAGCAGTGGAGTCAAATTGTTTGGTTATATTTTTGGAAAGTCACTGTGAGAATCTCCCTGCACTGAGCACGCCCACGTTGCTCGGACCAACACTTAACACAGATAAACCCTGCTGTATTTTTTACCTTTGCTCCACATGTTGGACACGTTTGAGTGGTATAATTAATGTTTTATAAATTTCATGCTTCGTCTCTCCTTGAGAATGTGCTTCGCTACACACACACACACACACACACACACGCTCTGCAAAACAGCATTCCTTTGAAGTAATAAAGACTACCCAAATATTCCTGGAATGAAAACGGGTGAAGACGAAGCTGATGTCTGTCATAAAAAAAGAAACAAAAAGAAGCATTGGTATAAATAAAGTGTTCCTTCCTTCTCCTTTCCTCCCGAGGTTCTGCTGCACATGCTGCATTGTGCTTGTTTATACTGCACAATCTTTCTGTTGACCATCCCTCATTTCATCCCAGTAAAAATACACAGAGAGGGTCAGAAGTTCAGGACCTAGATCAACACTGGCATTGTGTCCTGCAGGTGCTGTCAGCCAGGGATGGAAAATATACACAAGCAAACACACACACACACACACACACACACTGTCTCTGCACTCGGATGGTAATGAGGGCCAAAGTTGCTGGCTCCACTGCAGCTTTGAAGAGTCACCACAACAACTGACGCTCTATTCTGGAATATTTCAGAAGGTTGTCTCCAGGAAATAAAACAACATTGAAATAAAAAACCTTTTGTGGAACGGCAAAGTAAATTACAGCCAATGTTGTGATCTGTGAAAATGTACCGTTAGCCTTTTCAAACAAAAAATCTTTTTTTCTTTCATTTCAGGCCTTTAATCGAGTCAGCATTGAGAAAGAAAACCTGAAAGTCAGCTGGCTTCTTTCAGTAACACAGAGGCAATGTCAGAGCTACAAACTTTTAAATGTCCAACTAAGGAAGTTTTAAAAAGCCACTAACTTTTCTATTAACTGGCTGTAATTTAATTTCTAAAAATTACGAACGCTTAGAGCAAAAATTGACCTGCGTTTAATTTAAATTACAATAAAAAATGAAATTGGTCGCAAACGTCAGTCAATTCAATGATATAGTTAAATTTCAGAAGGATACTGTACCACTAGAGGGAGCAACAAGCTGCGACTTCTTCACTAATAAATAACACTTCGAAAATAAATCTACGTTTTCAGTGAAAGTGAACTTGACAATGTTTTGAGCTCACCAACAAGGCAAAATAATATTTCAAGTAAAAATGATTATGAATCATAATATTAATAACCAAGCTTAAGTCAAGTGCTCTGTTTGATTAGCGGCCAACGACGACCAAGAGAAACATTAGTGTCGACTGCTAAAGTGTTGACAGAGAAAAAAGTAAAATAATGTTTGAACCATAATTCCTCTGAACTGTACACACAGACACACACACACACAGAGTTATATATTTATATAGATATAGATATATATAACTATATCTCTCTAGAGAGAGCGAGAGTACATTTATAAACAATTTTACTCTCCATGTGTGTATAGTAAATTAAACATTTTAATGTTAAGGGTTATGAGATAAAAAACATTTACTCGAGTGTACCAGAATCAGAGAAACTGTACAACATTTTAGTAAATGTGAAAAGTATGTCTCTACAAAAACAAGACAAGCACCACGTCTCTTGTGTAAAGCTCCATAAGTTGCACCTTGTATTTATAGGTTGCCAGCTGAAAGAGAAAGTAATGGGTGTGCAGGCAGGAAGAGGTCCAAGTGACTTTGTACTCTCTGCAGAGCCGAACTTTGGATGAACTCCGAGAAGCGCCGGGGAGTAAAACACTATGCATAACTGTGTCACTCCCCCTCCCTAAAAAAATGAGCAAAGACAACAAAAAAGAAGAGCGAGCCAGCAGGCTTCAAAAGGCCCCCGGATCTCTCCTGAGGCACTGGCCGACTCCAGATAAATTGTTGGGCTTGGGGGTAGGCAGTGAGGTGAACTTCAATAAAAAACCTCAATGAAAACATTCATGAAAGCACCAGGCGAGGGTGGGATCACACAAACGGGAAACAACATAAACAGCGCCAGTCATCGCCGCCACAAAGGTCAAGTATGAGCAAGTGCAACTTTGGAGACAGTGACAACAATATCTCCTTCATCCTCCATCCCTTCCATTTGATTTCATGCACTAATGAGTATGAAACACGCAGGAAGCGCTGCCTCTCTCTGTAAACTGGCATGCTTTGGCAACTGAATATCTCTGCAGTACAAGTTTTGAAGAGTCCTACAGCACATCAGTGTGAGGACAGGGAAATAAAAGATGAGATGCACGCTATCGGTTGGAAGTGCACTGAATTCTATCTGCGCCAATTTCCAAAATGTCACGGGGATAATGATTTGGAAACATGACTTACGCCTCCTATGTTACGTTATTTCTCTCCTAGCAATTATTCTGCTGACATGCTCCCTCACAACTGCATTAATAGAGAGACACAACACAGAATGGAAAGAGACGTATTCACCAGACTTGACAGTTAACTCACAAGGGGAGACATCAACGTGCTTGTGACAATTTTGCTCAACACTCTCCATTATTCCACAATAGCATCAAATAAAAGAGCTCATTCATATTTTGACACAATAATTGATAAGAACCACTCAAAGGTAATTGTCCACAGTTGCTATTGTATAAGAGTGAAAATGTTCACATTTTACAGCTACAGGAGGAAATGTGTGAAATGTGTCTTGTCAGAGAAATGTACATGCTGGATTGTGCTGCAGCTGAATATCCAACATGAGAGTGAATTGGAGTGGAAATAGTGAATGTCCCATTGATGACAGGACAGCCCACACAGCCTCTGTGAATTTATTTTAGCCACATGTTCCATTATTAAAAAACACAGTGTGAGCACCGGTGCAAGTCCTGTAACCTCGTGAAAGACACTCGCAGCAGTTCTCGTGGACAGTGTGGAGACAAAAGCAGTGTTCAGTGTTCAGTGTTCAGGGGAGTACAGTGTTGGTGTGAACGTACCTGTTTTCTCTTTGATTTCACACAAGACATTGAAAAGAGCTGGCTTCATTCTGTGACAGTTGAGAGCGTGTTTCCTGAAACAGAGAGGTGGCTCCATGAGCAAACCACAAGACATGGGTCCTATCCAAAACATGTTCAACCTCTCAATCACTGGACAACAAAGCTGTGTGGGTACATATTTACATCTTTACAGGGACCAATAATACAACTATTGTACTAGTGCTGCAGTTTCATTGTTAGAACCTATATCACTTACTAATGTAAATAACCGTAAAAACATTTAATTTAGATTTATCAGCTCTACTATTAGCTCATAATATAAATTCATTATAAATATAAATACAATTCTGAACTTTAATGTGGAATACAGTACATGGAGGAAATACTAAATTATGTATCACATAAGAAAGTTGTGAATAAGCTGCAGGCCATTAAAAAAAACTGCCTGAACTATTATTCACTAATTATAACAGATATCCAAAATAAAACTGTGAAAATAAAAGATCCTGGCAGCTGTATCTGTGTTGAAGGGTGAATGCACCCTGACTTTATTGAGGTGTTAAGTGTTTTTAAAAATACTCCAGTGAGCGACTCGTTGGCATGTGACAGTAATAAAAACCACATGAGCGACTTATTTAAATGTGAAGTTTAGTGATTTCAATCCACCCATCGTTGTTTCGTCGGCTTTTCCACAAGGGACTGCGATACCCTGGCATTTAGACTTCTATCTTCATTTTGTTTTTTTGTTAATTTAGAATTTTTGTAATATATTTCTTTAAATTTTCTTTTTTTTCCATTCTATGTTTTATCTAGTTTTCCGCCGCCGCCGCCTCCTCCTGGCAGCCGGGCAGCGGGAGAGGAGCTGGGTCTGGAGCGGATCTTTACCTGGCTTGCGCTTCATCCAGACTCTGATCTGTGATGGTCATGATTTGCTGTAAAATGTCTCCAATGTCCTGTTTCCTGCCGTCGCCGTCCGTCCCTCCGGTGCTCTCCTGCATGTGTTGCGGCAGGCCGGGGTGTCCTGCCATGCCCACCCCGGTGTGAGAGTGCATCAACCTCGGCTGCTCGTCCATCTCTTCTTCCCCCTTCTTATCTAATTCTGTGTGGCGCTCTCGCTGCTGAAATCCTGCAAAAATTCATAAAAAAGAAGAAAAAAAAGGGAGGTAGGGGATAAAAAATATCCCGGAGCTGAGTGTTTTTAATATTTGCGCTGCGCACCCGTCGGTTCCTCGCAGACGGCTCTGGTGGCGCTCGCCGAGCAGAGAGCGCGGGGATCGGATGAGGGGAAAGCGGAGAAACGCGCCCTCCTGCTCTGTGGCTGAGTCTCTCTCTCTCTCAGCTGGTCGGTGCTGAATGTGAAATCTGATCTGAGCTGCTGCTGCTGCTGCTGCCTTCACTGGAGCAGGGTGTGCGTAAAAAGCTGCTGGTTAGTACTACCACCAACTAGGACACGTTCTCTTGTGATGTTGCGCAGTGATCCAAAACCACCTCTTCCTGCCAATTTAGCACAAAAAAAAAGAAAATAGTGGCCGTGAGAGATAATGATAAGTGTGTATTTATTTCAACCACTCCATCCCCTTGCTTTTGTCATGTACAGTACAGGCGGCAGCGTAGCAGAGCGCATGAGATGCCAGACTCCGCCTACGCGACATGATTGGGAATATAAGACCGTTTAGCCCCACCTTGAGGTGCCTCTCGTGAAACGTCGATCATTGGGGCTGTGAGGGTGGGATGCCGGGTAGAAGCTGGGAAATGTGGCTGCTGCTGCTGCCTTTACAAGCAGGGAGACTGTACGGAGTGATGGATAGAGGCTGAACCCCAAATAAATAACAGAATCTGACACTGGAGTTCTGCTTTAGTCTCTGATTCTGACCTCTGCAAGAGACACATCCCTTCACCAGGACCCACAGGAAACCTCCCCATCTCCATGTGGTGCCATGATGTAAGGTACACCCGGACAAGCCCATTCATTTGTTAAAATGATTGGAAGCATAATAAGGATTTATGAACAGAGAGGGGGAAAAATCCACTGATGAGACACATAGTGGAATAACACCTTTCTGATGTCATTAATATTTCATTTTTATGGCATAAAGTGAGCCTTACAGTCAAACACGCTTGTTTATTTGCTGTAGGCGGTGGTACATCGACTCTGTTCGTTCATTTTCAGGTATGTTGCAGGGCTCCGCTTGGCTGACTTTAGCTGGGTCCTCCTAATGTAAGGCGGTGACCCATGTTGCGCAGCCAAGCAGCAAGACCCGAGTGTGTCTGGCCAGGCTGAAAAGTGCCCTTCAGGCCCAGTGCTGCCTCACTGCCGCTGCTCCCCTCCACTACTGAGAGCCATTCAAAGAAAGAGGAGGAGGGTAAAAAAAAAAACTCCTGTGTGGAAGTAAAGTATGAACGGTAGCGTGCAAATTGTCGGCTTGGATATTTACATATATGACACATATATTAAGAATGGTATTTAAATATTTAAAAAGTGCCAGAAGGTTTTATCGTGAGCAGCTCAAAATCAATCCAGAGTTAAACGAGACGTTTATGAGTGCTACACTACCTGCGAATTCTTCGCTTTGGTGGTGCTCTGTATTTCCTGACTAGTTGTCGCCACCTGTAGATCGAGTGAAATCATGTGAAATAACCCACTTAAGCAGAGATTTTTGTATTTGTGAATATCATCACTCTTAAGGAAGAATCCTGTTGAGGGATTTTTAGGGCCTTTACATGTTCAATGATAAAATTATTGCTTATTTTGAGTTTTAAAGGCTCAGACAGTTCCCTTTGCATTATTGAAATGCCAGCGAAACTTAGGTCCCTTTTAAATGATTCCTGAATACAACAGAAGCCACTAATTTATCATCTTATTAAGGCTGTTTAATAGTAAAACATCTCCTGATTGATATTAAACTATTTAAAAATCACCATGCTGCAGATTTTCCTTGCTCGCAATTCAAAATACAACTGGGATGCTCTCATCGGTAGTCCTTTGTACAACTATTAGCATATTTGAGTTTGAAGTGTAGTGGCAGTGACATCTCAGACTGTCTTCCTAAGCCTCAGGTGTAGTTGCAGAGCGATCCTGGAGCTAGGTACTCTCCCTGTAGGAGCTCAGCTGAAGCACCGCCTATGTAAATTGGGAGCAGAATATGTATGATGGATAATGGTAAGTGTGGTAAGTTTCCCTGCCATCTGCTCAGTAGTAGAATAATGAGAATACCTGAGGGGGTCTCTGTTACACCAACATCCATATGACTCCCCAACATCTGCTAAGTTATGTTAGCAGGGCATTGAGAAATCTAAATATATGCTGATACTCTCAGGCTACACAGCAAGGCAAACAAATCGCAGAGCTGGCAGTGATCTCCATCCATTCGTTGCCAGGCTGGTGTACTGTATGGTTGGCCACTCACCAGGGATCAAACAGGAAATGCTAATAGACGTCCTGTAAAATGCTTAATTTGCAGAGGAGAAGTAAGCGACACATTACGGACCGTTGAATTTCTCATGCCAGAGTACCGTCCTCACCGGTGGGATTCTGGGATACTGTCACAGTTATTAAAAGTAACAACAGAAAACTCGAACAGAAGTGGCAAATATGACGCCCAAGTGTGGGACACAACAGCTGCACTCACACCTCTGCACTGATGCTGTGTTGTGGACAAATCCTGTCCAAAAGCAAAATGTAGCATATACATTAAAAAGCACAATCATTTGAATATAAATAAATACATTATGCATCGAATAAAACAAATCAACAGTGCAATAGGTCAGGTACACAGTGAACAGATTATCAGTCAGAAATGTAAATATTTAGGCTGTCGATTCAAGCATGAGCAACTAAACGTATTTAAAACACCTAAAATTATCGAACTGCTGAGCTTCTGGTTGGAGGACAACCACTCTACCCCTGAGCCACCCTACTCTACCCTACCCTAGAATGCTGTACACAAAGTAAGTAAATAGATTATACAAGCTATCTCAGGTATTTGTTAGTTGAAAAATGTGCTCGAGCACTTGACCAATCAGGCACTGCAAGCCTCATCCCGAAGGTTCCTGGACTTTTATAAAGGGCTACCCTCCCATGCAGTTGGCTTTATAATTAGACCCTGGCCCCTGTGGCAGAAGCTTACAGAGTTCCTGCAAAGGTTCCTAGTTCCTGGGGAAACTTCCTGTAGTGTAAACACAGCTATTGTTACACTTTGGAGCAGTAACACGCAGAAGGTGGATGTATGTTCCCCCTGTACAACATTTGGTGACGATGCGCCTCAAACTACCTTCTCAGGAAGTTATGGTTAGTGATGCTTCCATCTTCATTGGGTGTTTTTGTCATCAGATAGCTGTTCCACCTGTGTCAGTGGAGTGGAGTGGCTAACTGCAATTAGGGTGCTTAACAGACACATTCACACCTGCAGGTTATCATAGTGAAACCAGTTAATCTAACCTGCACGGTTCTCTCTATCTATTTCACTGTTTATTTGAACACACTAAAATGGATTCGCTGACCTAAACATTTGAGAGACAACACAAGGTCTGTATGTGATGATCATGTGCAAATGAATGTTATACTTTAGATTTCAGTAGTGCATCAATTCAAGCATGAATTAAACCCCCACAGTGTTCTCACGGCTTTGGGACAATCTGTTAAAAGCTGATTCAGACATTCAACAGGCCTGAGAAACCTTCACATATCTTCGAGGGGAAAAGAGGGCGACTGGAGGACGACAGGACGAGCAGCCAGAGGAGGGCTGGTTTCCATGGCACCTGAGAGAGAGAGAGAGAGAGAGAGAGAGACCTTTCTACTTCAGGCCCCGGGTCACACCATGTGATGAGGTTGTGCAGATAAATCCTCCCTTTCATCCTGCGCGGCTTTTGGCCCGTGTGGAGGCAGCAGTAATGGAAAGGATTCACACACATAAACCTCTCTTTGATTCTAATACGTTTGGACCGAGAAAATGATGAATGGGAGCTCCGTGTCCGCTCCGTTTTCAAACATGCAACACAGCATGCACGTATAGCCGTGAATCCTGAAAAGTGGGCTATTTCTCTCCTTCAAAGAAGCATTTAGCCTTATTAGAAAGCACGGGGTTACTCCTCAGTTGACGTATTACCTTGATTGTTTTAAAATTCTACATTCCTTTGCCTCTGTGTGACACTGCCAATGAGTCACCATGGCTGCATGCTAATTATGCTCTGAGTGACCTGGCAATAAGTGACAATCGCTGCTCTACTACAGTATATGCTTCCTTCACCAGAATATTCAGGGTAATGTGAAGATTTTGGGATGCAGAAAAATAGGCCATGAGAAACAATCTTTTAAGGTTATCTACATTCTAATTACACCAACATCTATCTATCTGTCTGTTCTGGAACACAACTCTTGAGAAACATTCATTCAGTCAGCTTCACACTTGGCGTTTGTATTGATGATGGCCCAGGGAAGTGTAATGTGGAATTTGATGTGATTTGACCATGCCATTCATTCAATATGAATAAAAATGTAATAAACAAGCAAGCAGCGCGCCGTAGGAGTCAAGTGGGGAAAAGCAGTGTGCCTTCAGTCTGTGGACCAAGTTGTCTTTTTCTATGTCCTTGTCCTTACCACTACAGCTGTGGACCTGTGGTAGAAAACTGTCAGTGTGCAGCCCATAATATCTATCCCACCAGATCATTTTCATAATTTATATTATATTTATTATAATGTATAATATATGTATTACACAATATCGGGTTGACACAGACATTCACGAGTTGCAGGTGCTGATCTCCGTTATAGCACAACATTCCTAGAATCACTTCCTCTTTTGCAATATGCTTAACACACCACTGAAATAGCTGACATCCAAAAAATAACACCAGTTGAGTCATAAATAATTCAAACTTAAATATAAACCACATACATAAACACTAAAATAGCAAATTTAGGTTAGTTATTGGTTCAAACCAATAACTGATCAGATGATATGATGACAGCAGAAAGTACAACTGGCTGTACAGGTGCAGATAAAGTTCTACAGCTAAGTAGAAATAAGAGCGTCTGGGTTTTTGGCGGAGATGCCGCTCTAGCTGTGTTCGGAGAGGAAGATGGCACAAGCTGGTTTGAGCAGAGTGAGCACCAGCGGAGCACATTGAAGAGGAGGTCTGAATGGATCGATACATCACAGAACAAAGGGGAACTGTGCTTCAGCGGGGACCCAAGAACAAGACAGGCCCATTGCTCAACTGCTGTCACAGTTGTGTATCACAGGCATCTCACATGCACCTTTTCAGGGCTGGAGCCTCCGGTTACAGAGCAGGGATAAAGACAGATGTGAGGACGGGTGGATAAACTGAGGAAACCTGGGACATGAGCAGCAGATAGATGAACTTCTCCTCTGACAAACACAGAGCTGCTTTGGCCAACATTGTTATGTGTGTTATGTAACTGCTCATCATTACAAAATTAACATTTTCTTTTAGTAGAATTTAAACATGTTTTCACCAAGCTTGAGAA